CCCTCCTTTGCTGTCCTGGTTTCCCGAGCTCCACGTGCTCAGCGCCCCAAACTTGCAGCTCATTTGCTCTCCAGATGTTTCAGGAGCGCCTACTACGTGCTAGGCGCGCGGGGTGGGGGTGGGGGCTGGCTCACCGGGGCGGGGGAGTAAGGGAGGGGACAAGAGCCACTAAGTTGGTTCATTTGTTCGGCGGGTCTTTTCGGAGCGCCCGCTGTATACTATCTACTTCCACTGGGTCTGTCCTCAGGGTCCAGTAAAGAAAAGACAGACATCAAACAAACACCCTGGAAACGTGGAAGAGGGGGAAAAGGAACAAAGGGAGGGCAGAATGACTCCTCATCCCATATCCCTGACGACACTGAGGGGTTTGTCCCTCTAGCTGTGGGAGTCCAATTTCTTTCTGTCATTCTAAATGCTGTCCCTTTCTGCTTACATCTGTTCCCGACCCTCTCTCCTCTGTGATTTTCCTTGCATGCATTTCCTCCCTTTAACAATGCGCCAGCTTTAGGATGGTGCCAAAGCAAAATGAGATTCCCCTGGCTTCCGGTGCCAGCCTAAGGCCTCCTAAGCTCTAGGTAGGCAGCTCTCCTTTGACTTTCCAGCCCAAGATAATCACCTTTTAGTCTACGTAAGATGCAGCGTTACTGGGATGCATTGCACTCATGTAAACGTGACTTGAGTGCTACGGGTTCTAGGTCACCTACAGATTTGTCCTCCACCTCGGACCCCGAGCCTAGCTCCGAGAATCCCAGCCTGTTTTTCCAAAATGAAGATGATTTCAAGAATACCTGTGCGGGACCACGCCAAACTTGCTTCCACTGAAGTTTCGGGAAGCCCAACTTTCTTCCTGAAACTTCAGAAACTCTGGCTTTCCCTCATCCCGTAAGGACCACAAACTGTTGAAAAGCAGATGCCTCTTTCAGCCTTTCTAATAAATGCAGTGAGGAGAGTCGGGACAAAGTTACTTTCAGACTGTGGGGCTCCCCCATGCCAAAGCATTCAGACTAAATGTGGGGGAGAAAAAAAAAAAACCCAGCCAGCAATTATCCGAATGTTAAACAGCTGAATATTTGGAAAACCAAATCTTTGATTTCAAAAACCTTTTTCTCATGCATGTTTTCATGTTTCAGAAATGTCTCAAAAAAGAAAATAAAAAGGAATCAAACTCTCAAGTTTTTTTTAAAAAAAATTGTTAAAATTGGATTCACAGTAAAATAAGTGGAAACAGTAGCAAGTGACAGATTGGTGGAAAGTTTCCTTTTCCAGTCTCCATGCCAACGCTAGCATGGGAATGCTGCCGGGTAAATGTAAAAACCAGTCAACATGGATTTTAAAATTCCTACAACTTTTTTTTTTTAATAGTCTATTTCATACTTGTTACTACTGAATGCCAGCTTGGGTATTCCCTGCTTCTCCGAGCATAGAAAACAGGATGCGTCCACAGAGGAAAATCAGTTTTCAGAAGTAGATGGCTTCATACACTGCTGTTTGGGAAACAGTCCTCAGAAGGCTGTTTTGAAACAAGGTTGGAAACACTTAAAAATAGGGTTGGTTTGGTTTCATGTTGTTTCTTTTGATCCTGCTGTTGCTTGTAATTGTTTTAATACTTTAGAGGAGAAATGAAGGCCTCTGATATGACAGATCTTTGCATCTGCAGCCAAGTTAGAAAATTGAAGTCTGAAAGTTAGTTCCTTCTTATAAAGGGAAAGATGAAAGGTTGAGTTTAATTAGTCGGTAAAAATCAGCTAGGAAGGCCATTACTGAAATAGAAATTGAAGAGTAGATTAGCTATTCTGTTCTCTTACTGTTAATACTGCCACATGAGCAATGCAGCCCTGGGACTACTGTAGAAGGAGAAGCAGACCATGTAGTTCAGAGTGTAGACCACCAATCATATTCTAGCGGACCATCAAGGCTCAGGTGAACTGGAGAGGGAGCACAGGGAAGTCCACAGACCCCTTGTGTGTGCATCAGACTGGCCTGGATTGGGATTCTCAGTGAACACTGGGCAAACTGCTTCAACTTTTCTATGCCCGTTTTCTCACTAACAAAATGGATATAAAATACCAGCCTCATGGTGTACAACATCCATGGGGTTTGAAGAGTGTCAAGTGCTCAGCCAAGTCCCTAGAACATACTGGGAGCCCTGTTAGCATTATCACTATTGAGCCTTAATCTTTGCTGCCCTCTGATAATTTCAGCCAACACTGATAGCGTTTTCTTCTGTCTTCCATCAGATTAGATTATACACTCCTTGCAATTAAGATCCTTGAGTTAATTTCCCACACACTTCTCTTGGCACGCAGCACAATGACAGGTATATACAGGCACTCAGTAATCGAGGATCAGTTAGAGGATCAATAATCTGCATACAGGGCACAAGGAAGAGATGTACAATGTAGACACATTTACTGTACATGAACCAATTCAATATAGTCATCAAAAAGCTAGAGGGATCAATATTTTACCTGGGGACCTGCCACTCTACTCAGGGGACACGTGACTGAAATGAGCTGAACTGGGAGATACAAACCTGTCATTACAGTCACTCTGGGACCCAGGCTGATGAAGGCTCCATCTCCACATATGTTTCATGATTACCACTGTCGGGTGGTGAAATGGGTTAAATTCTGTCCCCCCACCCATCTCATGTCCAATCTATCTGGACTCTGACCACTTTGCTCTCTGTCATGGCCACCCTTCTTGTTCTGAGCCATCATCATCTCCAGCCTGGATTCCTGGCATTGCCTCCTGACTGGCCTCCAGGGGTCTCACCCTTGTCCCCTACATCCTGTCATCCCCCCAGCTGCCTCCGCTCTTCTTTGAAATTTTAAGTCAGACCCTTTGCTCCAAGCCCTGCAGTGCTTTCTTGTTTTTCCCTCCTAGAGACTTCAGGTCTTCCACTTCACCGACTACGACTACAGCTTGTCTTCCTGCCAGCCCTGCTCCAGCCACGTGGCCGCCTGAAGGTTCCCAGAACTCACAGGCACGCTCCCACAGTGAAACATCTGTCCTGAAAGTTCTCTTTGTCAGGACTAGTTTTCCCCCAAATCAGCAGGAACGCGACTGCCTCCCTCCCTCCTTCAAGTGTTCACTCAGCTCTCACCTCAGTGAGGCTTCTCCCAACCACCCTGATAAATGTGCGACTACCCCAGCGCTCCAGATGTCCCTCACTCTACTCCTTTCCATATTTTGTTTTTTCCTCCAGCACTTGGCACCTTCTTGTCCCCCATTATTTACTTACATATTTTGCCCCGCCCCCACAACCTCCTTACACATAGACCAGAATATAAGCTCCAGGGATTTTTTTCAAGACGTCTTTTTTTCACCAATTTAAGTCCAATGCCTCCCAGGCACTTAATAAATATTCGGTGAACAAATTACTCAAAATGTGGAGAAGAAATTGAATGGATGGATAGGTGGATGAGAAAGGATTGGATAGGAGGCTACTGCCGTGGCCCAGGGGGCTTCTGCTACTGTTGTTGGCAGTAAAGAGGGAGGAAAGTGAACTGATTCACTGAAGCAGTGAAACAGGTAGAGCGTATTACTGAGTGAGATAAAGGGTGGAAAAGGAAATGCCCAAATTCCTCACCAGGATTTACCTTTCATAACAGATCGACACCAGGCATGCTGGGGTACAGAAAAGAACTGAAATTCTGGCCAGATAGAGTCTCATTAAATTGTTTAAATCTGTCCATTTCATATAATACAGCCACAGTGGTAAAATTTTTGATCAAGAGTTGGCAAACTGTGATGTACTGCTTGTTTTTATGAATAAAGTTTTATTAGAACACAGCCACGCTTGTTTACATGTTGTCTGTGACTGCTTTCCCACTGCAAGGAATGTTTTTGAGAGAGAGACTGTATGGCCCATAACGCTTAAAACATTTATTATTTGATCTTTTGTAGAAAAGTTTGCCGACTCCTGCTTTGGATAATATAGAAGAGGATCTGGAGTTTCTTGACAGCTCCTCAGGGCAAATTTATTACCACCAGATTTTCCTGGGCCTGTTATGGACTGTATTTTTGATGTTCCCTCTGGTTTATCAGTTCCACCTTGTTATATGTACTTTTCATTTCTATTGTCTGTTACACCTCAGGCGCTCAAGAAATGATTGTCGGCAGAATTTGAGGTGGAAGGACAATGTGTGTCTGGTCTGCCACCTTGAACTGGGAGCCTGAAACCTCTTCTCCTGTATGTAAGCGAAGAGCACTTCCATGACTCTTGTATATGAAGTTCTAGTTTTAAAAGTGATTCTAGCTTGCTTGAGGACATACTTTTTTGGTGTGTCTCATCTTTGCATGACTTCTAATTAATTATTACAGCACAATAGGTGGGCCTGGTAATTTCATAGCTGGGTCCCATTTGCCTTTGTGTAAATGATTTTCACTTAGATGGATTCAAAACAAGTAAAATAGATATTCTGCTTGCTTTTTTACCCTTCATCCTTTATCACTGTACTATTTCACGGTGGCTTTTCTTGTTAAGAAACCCATAATATCAGTCTGAAGTATCTTTTTAAAATAATAACCATGCTTTAAATGTGACATGAAAAATGGAATTGCTTTTATAATTCTAAATAAGACATCTATTTTAATCCACTTCAATGCTGATGATTCCTCTTTATTTTTAAAAATAAATCACCATGCTTCAATTTGAAAGCCAATTGTCTATGGAGGCACTAAAATTATTTGGTCTATTCAAGTGATAATGTACAATAAAGTTTACCTATTTTTAAATAGTTGAAATATTAATCCA